TTCTGGGAGTTGAAGTCCACTCATCTTAAAGTGGCCAAGTTTGGACAACACTGGCTTAAGCTAATGGCGTTTCTAGCACAAGCGTGGTTTACAAAAGCAAAATGGCGACGGTTAGGCTAAAATGATCTGCATCCCTTTTAAGGGGAAATTCAATGGAGTTCCTTACACCCAAAATAATGAAGTTATGCCAGCAGAGATCTTTGATCGAGAATTCATTGCATTCCCCCACCAACATTGCCCCCAAAGTCCTGGGCCGGGGGAGACATTTCCTGCCAGGAAATGAACCCTTGCTAGAAAAGTTTCATTAAGTTCCTGGTGTTTCGCAGGAGAGCATCTTCTTGCAGCTGAGGCAGGATGTGCGTAGGAGGGGATCAAAACGGTTGAGAAGGAGGCCACAAGCTGGTGATCAAAGCAGGCCCTCCACTGGGTTGGCAACTCAAAAAAGGCCCATGTCTTGACATCATGCAGGAGATCACACTGTGCTTATTCTCCCACCCAGCAGCCAAATGTAGGTATCTCCATTGCTCCCACCCCTCCACCACCTGCTTTTTCCTAAGCCAACTTTAGGGAGCTGGTGACTCAGCAAGGAGGAAATAGTTGTTAGGAATAATGCCCAGAACATACAGAGGTTTGCTGGTCCAACCACTTCAGGAAACCCATCCTTCCTCACAATGCTTCAGAGAGGTGTGTCTCCCGTTGAGGTCCCTCCCTTTGTGGAAAGATTAATAGGAAGCCCTTCCTGCTAGATGATCCTCAAAGCCCAAGCAGAGGCCCAGACAGGTAACGGCTTAAATTCTTCCTCCCTCTTCATTCAAGGGCTCCGAGGAAGACTGAAATCGTCTCTCTGGATAATTCTTTATTTGCAGCTGCCCAGGTGAGGAGGTGAACTATGAGAGGCAATTCTAGTAAGATGGATCCAAAGGTGGTCCTCCTTGAAATTTAGCCATGAAGTTGGTCAGAAGTATCCGTAACGAATCATCTTTAAGCACTGGATTATTTTTAAACTTTGCACTCAGGGTTGTGAACAATTAGGAGATCTGGTTTAGACAGTGGTTTAGCAGTTGTAGAGGTTGGGTCGAATCATTGTTTATTTAATCTTCCAACCCCAAAGGCACAGGGCGATGCAAGAATGCACAGTGGCCCTTGGAAGACATTCTTAACAGTGTGGTTAATGTATGAGTCCTGTTCAGTTCCAGGTGCATGGAGGAGATCTCTGCCTAGGTCCTGGTCCTGGTCCTCCTGGATCTCTTGGTGGGTTTCAATACCATCAACCTCCATATTCTTCTGGACTGACCAGGATAGCATCCAGTTCTGACCCCAGTGAGTAACTTTTGCTTCAAGGTATTTCAGAAGAGTCTTATAACAGGGGACTGAAACCTCCATTCTTGAAACACGTGTAAAAAAGAGATGGGTCTTTGTTCCCCCGGTTGTGCTGTCATCTTGACATTTTTGACCCCCTCCCTGTGGACACTCTGGCAGAACCACTGAAGGATGCAATGGGGGACTGGAGGTAAAGAAGGACAATTTTTATCCTCTTTTACTACCACATAGTGCTTTTTCCTACAACTGCCCAAACCGAATCTTGTCCCTGCTTAGAAACTAAGCTTCTGGACCTGGTTATTATTTGAATGGGACGTCACTTGGAAATTCCAGGGTTCCAGAAGTTAAATGAAATTCTCAGAAGTTTTTTTTCTTCTTAACTTTGCCACCATTGCTTATTCTGAGCTTTCTGAATATAATTTTTATTAAGAATTTTAATTACAATAGCAAAAACTAATACAAACTAAACTTAGAGAAAGAGAAGAGAATGGAAAAAAAGAATAAAAGGGGCAGGAAAAACAGAAAGAAAGAAGAAAAAAAAAGAAATAAAGAAAAAGAAAATAAATATATAAAGAAGTGGCTTCCAACCTTTAT